TAGTTTTTAAATTATTATATAGAAAAAAAAGTTTTATTAATACTTACTTTGCTCTTTTCAAAAGAGCAAAAAAAACGCACCGGTATTCAGGAGAAAAAAGACGACTTACGAATAATCGGTATGATTAACGTCTGTTCGTTTTTTGTCCATGTGTAGAGCTCGTGTTCAGTGTTGATTGGTAGGATCTATTTATCAGTCGGCTCTCACATGGTTAAGAACTACACAAATAATGATCGGCAATTTGAATGGTGCGTTATTTATGCGAGCCACTGTAAGTGGCATGTGCTTGGCAGAAAATCCCTAAAACGCACTCAAGCCAAAAAATCGCTATAAACAAAGAAATTCTTAACAATTTTGATATGGAAAGCTTTGATTACTAAAACCTTAGAAATCTTTGCTTGTGTTATTAAATTCGGCTATAAAATACGAATATCCAAATTGTGAACGATAACATTAAAAAATGTTTGGACGAAAATTTTCATTTAGCGATATTCCGGATCTTACTGGCAAAGTAAGAAAAAAGCAATTTAAAAAAAAGAGTTAATAAAATTATTTTTTCTAAATAGGTTGCGGTCGTAACAGGCGGCAATAGTGGGATTGGATACATAACAGCTCGCGAACTTGCCCGAAAAAACGCACATGTGATTGTGTGCAGCAGAAGCATCGAAAGAGGACAAATGGCCGTCGATAAAATCAAAGTAGAAACTAACAATGATAAAGTAGAAGTTTTGCAATTGGATTTGTCGGATTGGAAGAATACCAAGGACGCAGCGGATAGTTTAGTTGCTAGGAAATTGCCGTTACATATTCTGTAAGTATTAAGTATTTGGTAAGCATCTAATTTTTGTTTCATGGGTTATTCCTAATTTTAAATGGAATTTTTTTAGCGTTAATAATGCTGCAATCATGGCAACGTAATTATTCTTATCATTATTTTAAGCTTATCTGCCACAAATTGCAAATTTAGAAATACATGCATTTTTATTTAACACGTTTCATTAGACCATACGAATTAAATGAACATGGAATTGAAAAACAATTTGCAACAAATCATGTCGGTCATTTTGTGAGTATAGCATTCATATACACAAGAAATAATATTTTCGACGCGTTTGCATTCTAATCAATACGCTTGCTATTTATCTTAAAATAGGCGTTAACTGAGACCCTCTTACCAGTTATTGAAGCATCAGCTCCTTCGCGCATTGTAAACATTACCGGGTACATACTTGACTTATTATATCACAGGAATACATGTAACTAATTGTTGAATGTTGATAGTAATCTCTATAATCGTGCTCCAAAAACTGGGATAAATTTTGACGATATCAACCTTGAAAAAGAAAGCTCATTGACTCGATATGGTCAGTCGAAAACCGCAAATATCTTGTTTACTATTGAATTAGCGAAACGACTTGAAGGAAAACAGGTATGGGCGAATGTAGTTCATCCAGGTAATTTTCTAAAATTTAATATGTATGTTCTTAAGAATAATTGAATAGTTTTAATAAAATATATAATTTGGAATCATTGTTTATATAAAAAGGTGTCGTCAAGACAAACCTAATACAAGGATTCTTATCCGATAAAGGGTTCTTGACTAAAGCAATCATCTACGTTGTAAAATTTTTTTTGATGAACGTAGAAGATGGTTCTCTAACGTCATTATACGCGGCTACGAGCCCTGAAATTGAAAAAGAAAATTATCGCGGCAAGTATTTTGTGCCGATTGCGGAATTGGGAACGCCGGAACCATTTGCCACGAATCAAGAGACTGCTAGTAGGTTGTGGAAATGGACTAAGGACTTGCTCAATGAGAAACTAGGCATTTGATTTCGCCAAGTTTTGTACATCAAATATCTATTGACTTTTGAAATGTCTAAATCAACTTGCTCTGAATTTAAATTCAGAAATTTATATTGAATTCCGCTTTAAATTTGTTGATTTTTATTTCAAAATAAATGTTTTTCTGAATTTTTCAAAACTTTTTAGGTTTATAATTTTTATATGCGTATATTTCATATCAGTATACATGATTTAATGGTGATGAAAATCATCTGATATGGTGTGACCACAAGAGCAAATAAAAATTTAACACGTATAACTAGACTTTGTGCCTTATCGTTATATTTCTCACCAGCAACGACATCAAAAATGGACAAACAACGGCAACGTGAAGTAATTCTATATTTGTGGAATAATGGTGTAAGGACGACCAGGGAAATACAGCAAAGAACAAACATCAGCCTATCCACTATCTATTGCAACTTAAAAAAATTGGAATAAAAGGTCAAGGTAGACCGAAAAAAATTACCAGCTCGATAGCTAGTGCAATATATGATACAATCCTACAATTTCTGCCAGCGGTTTAGTCAATAAATTGAAAGAAAACAGTTTCGTAGTTGGAAGAGAAATGGTTCGAACTCACCTCATTGCTCACGGTTATAGAAATTCCCTCCCCGCTTGCTACGCCTATGCTTACGGATAATCATAAAAAAAAAGAATCGAATGGGCCCCAAAAACACCTTAATGACGATTGGTCCCGAACGCTTTTTCTGATGAGACATCATTTCAACTATTTAGAACAACATTGCTCAGTAGTATAAACATGCCCGACCCGTCCGACGTATTCCTAAGAACTGGCAAAAAATTCATGCGTGGGATTTTGTGTACACGGTAAAACAAGCATTTATTGCTTTGTGGGAAAGATGGACGCAAAATTTTATGTCGGAATTCTTCAAGAACAATTTCCCGAGGTCGAAGAAATGGTGGGGAACAATTGGCGGTTCCAGCAGGACAACACACAAGTCGTTTAACGAAGCGTCTTTTTCAAAGCAACACGTCCGTCGTTATGGATTGGCCGTCGAATAGCCCCGATCTAAATCCTATCAAAAATTTGTGATCAATTGTTAAGAGAAACATGGAGGACCTGAGTCCGAAAGATTTGGAGGAGTTGGAAATGTTTATGGTCGAGGAATGAGAACGAATCCCAGACGAGGTATTAGAATCGTTAGTCGATTCGATGCCGGGGAGATGTGAGGCGATAAATTAGGGGGAATCGAACGAATAAATTATTATTTTATATATCGTTCGAAACTTATATTATTATTCTTAGAAAAAAATTAAAATGCTTGGATCACCAGTTTCCGAGAAAACGTAATTTAGAAATTTCCAAATACATGTACATGTAATTTCCGGTACCACTGTACATGTATCACGAAATTGAAACGAAACCTACGGAAATTTTATAAATTCCGGCTCTTTATGACGACCATTATAAAAATATGAAACGTGAATATTCCAATTCCAAATATAGATATGGGATTCTATCATTGCACTTATATTCTCAGGACTTGAGAAGTATGAAACCGGGAAGTTACCGACCAGAAGTGTTCAAAGCTCATTGTGGCTCTCTCCACGTATAGCAAAGAGTGTGGTAAGCTAATTATGGTTTCTGCGATACTCTGGCAGGTAAATATCGAAGAAGAGTGTATTATCATCGGAGAAGATATCGCAAAAAATCAGTAGTTAAGAAAGAGGTATATTGGTTTTAGGATCGCGTCTTTTTTCTGAAACGAAAAAAAATAGCCTGTTGAATGAAAGAGTTTTTGACTACCCGTCTCACTCGTCCTAGAAAAATCCTGGCTTTCTTACTTTATTATATGTGATTAGGTTTCGATTTTTCTCCTAGATTTTTAGTTTTAATAGGACAACTAAGACAGATATAAAATTATATTAAAACAAAATAAAATAGAGATTAAACTCTCCTATAATATAGTTAACTTTTTTTAATTAAATTTTATAGCTTAATGAATAATGATGCCATTTAATGTTATTACGAATGTATTGGTCAAATTTCAATATTTTACTTGCAACATTAATTTGACTTTCAAATCAATAGGCATAGCATCATATAATTCCCGTTGTTGTTTGCTGAGACAAACCACGGGCTTCATGTGTACGTTTATGTCAGTCTCTAGAATAATAAAATAATCGCTATTACACTTAATTAGCGTTAGATCAAAATTAATGCATGTACATATTTATCAAATGCACCGTCTTTGAATGTGGGATGCGCCACGTACTAATATGGTTATCTCTGTCTCGCCTGAATCATCGCATGTAACTTGATGACTAAATCATGCCACCGTCGTCATTGGTATAAACCTCTCGGGTGTTGCTAATAGTATTAGTACCGCAAGCGTTATACATTCCATGGCAAAATTGAATTAGTACCCAGGGTATTATAATTGGAAGAGTATTTTGCATAGGTAAGGTATACCTCATTGTGGACTTTCTGATTCACTATATGCACACTTATAATACTCAGGTATATAATACCTGGATATGTTTATGATGCGAAGTTGCGTTGAAATTACGTGATTTAAAGCGTATTATAAAAGAGATAGAAATTCTACAATTTTTTAAAAATGCTTTATTATTTTCTAATTTTTCTAATACAATTAAGCTATTCAAAAATAGAGTCGAATTGTTCTAAAATATAGTGATGGTTACTTTGGAATATACATATACAGTTAACCCGCATTTGGGAATTAGAACAAAATCCAAACAGTTCATAAATCTAACTTCCATAATACATTTATATATGAAAGTGATTACGTTTATCTATTTTGAATAATGAATATTCAAACTCTAAGAGCATATCCATTTGATGTTAACAACTAAAATTTACTGTATTGAAGCTTAAATTACGAAATCAAGGGAGACAAGATAAAAAACTCATTTTTTTTTAATAATAACAACCTCATTATTCAATAAAATTATTCCGGAAAAACCAGCGGTATTTTATAATAAAGGACTTTGCGTCGAATCTCTGCCCAAACTGAAACTTCCCAACATTGTTACAAGTGTTACAAGCTGCATCCAACACTTGATAATCATGAAAGGTTAAACAGATTTCGTTTGAAGCATGAAAGTGATCTCTTTCAGAGCCGCTGAGAGAATTCATTATTATTGATAATTTCCGAAAGGAATTGAATCTTACCTTCATAAGAAACTAGTCATATGGAACCTGAATCTCTACTCTGAAGGATCCCTCCATACAAACGCCCGAGTATCATACGAAAAAAATGATCATCATGCTAGATCTTAAAAATAAAACTGAAAAAAAAGAGTTTATCGAATCCATAGTCAATTTCCCAATCAAATCCTAGAGGCATTAATAATGTAATTGACGGTCCAAACTCATTTTCATTAGTAAGTTCTGCAATATATTACAAGATAGAAAATTTTATAAAATTTAATATATATGTATTTGAGAATAATTCTAAATAATTATTTTAAGATATTATCATATATTAATTACAAAAGTATAAAATTAAGAGGTTCAAAATCTTTTGTATATAAAATTTTTTGTTGCATTCTTATTATATACATAATCATTACAAAAAATAATATCTAATTTTTTAAAACTAAAATTTCAGATATATTCAATTTATTTTATTGCTGTTTTATATATATATAAAATTTTTTTCATTATTAATACATTATTAACTCTTTTTATAATTTTAATATTGCTTTGATTTCTCAAGATATTGAGTTTCATAATCTTCTTAAAAATTAATATATCTGATTTTGAACACACTTCCTTTAGAAATGCCTTGAATTTATTCATGATACTTAAAAAGTTTTTACACTTTTAAATTTTGTTTTCCAATGGTTTACAAATATTTCTATGAAGTTAGAATTGCAATAACACACTAATTATTGATTTTCTTTATTTAAATCTATTTCATAACTTCATTTTCAATATAGATCAAGTGTTATTATGTTCTCTCAAATTAATGAAAAAATTATATTATGAGAGAGACAAGATTATCTAGAGAGTCTTTCAGATAAGCTCTTGCACAGTTTTTTTATTACCAGTATCATGAAATGGTGATATCTTTTTAATTTCTTGTATATATGCAGTTTTCATCAAAATCTCACATACTGTAATTTATATTTCAAAAATTTTAATTTTTTCAATCTTTCTTACCTAATGAGCTTGCCGAGGGAATACCAAACAAACTGTCTTGCTTTCATGCTCTGGATTTTTCCTCTTGCGATTTCTATGTACATGTGAATCAGCTCTCAGACAGTAGTAAATTTTTGTTTTCCAGTTTCTTTTGTACTTGGCAAGAGACCGTTATGGCACTTTTTTCTTCCAGCTTGTTTGGCACTCATAACTTCAATGATTTTTATCCTTGTCAACGCCGGACAACTGGTACGATAGATATCATATTTACATCTAATAAATTTTCGCCTAATGTGTGTTTAAAGTAAAAGAAAAAATTTAGGGTCAACAATAGCAAAGAGGAAAAAACCACGACGCATAGATTTGTCTATGTTATTGCACATGCAAATTGAACGTTACTTTTTGTGGCGACCGCACATGTGTTTATAATCATCATTTTACCAGTCATTAAATTCATAGATCTCGCTATAATTTATTGATTTTGCCAGCATGACGAGGCAAGATCCACAATATGTTTGCTTGTTTGAGAACGGTCTGCCTTTTTTGGTTATATTTATCATTATGTTATTTCTTTATTGTTCAAAAGTGTTCTTTAATTTATATATACACGTACATGTACCTGTAGCAAATCCCTTATGATTGTTCATATAAACAAGAACAATACTAGTTTAGAATTATTTAAACCTTATCGCCATGCAAGCAAGTCTTAATGTAAATCCTTTTGATTAACCTCTTCGAGCAGCAATCCTTGTGATTAAGCAATTATTTGTTAACAATTGTGTTCGTTACGAGTTACATGTATTAACAATGAAAACTAGCCCAGTGATTAGATAGTTAATAAAAAACTGTAAATAAGGTATTTTTCTTCATACGAAATAAAGAATATGTTTGGAAAAGTAAAAGTGGAATTGCCTTTATTCTTCTGATTATGCCCAATTGCGTTTTATTCCTTTGATCCACAAAGTTTATCGCAATTTTTGCTAATGTAGGCTTGTTTTAACTTGGTATAATATACTAAGTTTTACCTTTGATCATTATGTTATACTTTTGAAATTATCTTTTGTTATATTCTAGTATTTGCTGAGAATTGTTAGGTTATTTTTGTTAGTAATATTGCGAAAACAATTGTTTTTCTTTAATTTTTTAAAGTTAGATATTAAATACTTACCTTCACGACAGTAATCGTCAATATTAGCACAGGCTTTAATATTAAACTAAAATTAGACTGAAGAAACCACTTTAGCAAAGAGAACTAGAATTAGTCAGCCTAATATCGATACGTCGAAACCCTACCGGAAACAAGTAACAATACCTATACTGATCAGAAAACAGACAAACTGCAGAGGAACTTTATGTCTTATCGGATCTATCTAAGATCATGAAAATACTGAATATATGCTTGTATTACATTCTTTAGAATATCCTATGACAAATGAAGAAATAAAAAGTGTGCTAATTTAAAGAAACAGAAATTATATGAACTTTGAACGAGATGAAAGAACAAAAAGAATTCCTACGAATATAAACAAAAAGCAACAAATGCAATTTACATCAGTCGAATATTTACTTCAGGCTAATTTATCTATCGCTATGTGATATCGATATAACCAGGCAAACCCCGACGATCGAATTTTTATATCGTAATCTTATGAGTCCATGAAAGTCATAAACCAAAGCAGATCTTTCGTAGTTATCATTCCTATTACATGTTACATGTACATCATCGGATCAGCCGGATTTTACCGTTTTGGATCTGATGCAATGGAACGAACCGAAATCGAAACGATTTTTTTCGGATTGAAAAAATAGCAATCCGAACCGGGAACCAAATGTCAGATTCGGTTCGGGTCACGGATTGATCCGAAATGAACGGAGCCTTAATTTTAAGACATTGCCGTTCTATTTTTATGCATTTAATTTACTTTACATCAAAAATATTTGAAACCTGCGTCAAACTTCATGTCTGACAGCGATCTATGAAGGAAGATTTTTTCAAATATCTCAAGAACTTATTTTGATAAATTCGATTCACATTAACAAAGAAATTTTATAAATTATTCCAAATCCTTCTTTTGCAAGATATTTAGCATTGATAAATATTTCATTTGAAAAACAATTTTCAGACATTCTTTTTATTGTGAACTGAAATTTATTGTACATGTAACAAATTCTGTAATCTCAGAATTGCATGCAAACAAATAAATGTACAGTTGTAACGCCTGATCATTTTAAATGAAATTTCAGAAATATATATATACCTGATTTATTTTATTATTGTCTTATGTATCACTAATATTAATACATAATTAGCTTTAATATCACTTTGATTTCTCGAGGCATTGAGCCTACAACCTTTTCAAAAACAACATGTCGAATTTTAATCAAATTTCCTTTAGAGTAGCCTTGAACTTTTCACGATCCTTGAAAAGATTCCATGATTTGAGAAATTTCTATGAAGTTAGGGTCTCGAAAATACATTTATCGTTGATTTTCTCTATTAAAACTATTTCATGACTTCCTTTCCAGTGTATAGCAAGTCTTATTTTGCTGAATATCTTGTTTTCTCAATAAATATATTATAGCTTTGAGAAACTTTAGGTAGAGATAAGCTTTTACATAAGTTGTTATTGTCAATGTTGTGAAATGGCTCAGGTTATCTTTTTTTGACTTCTTTTAAATATGCATTTTTTTCTTAATTGTTAAGATCTTATGGTCTACCATTATATTATCATAGGATTATGCCACATTGTTCTTGCAGCTTGCTTGACACCCATAAATTCAATAAAAACTACTATTTTATTCTTGTCAACTAAGTACAATAGGTATCATATTGCATCTAAAAAAAAATTTCATCTAGTGCATGTTTAAAATTAAAAGAAGAAAATAAAAAAAATTTAGTTCAACAATGCATAGATTTGTCTATGTTATTACGAAATTATAACTTGTATGATTGATATCTTCTTGATTCAACGAAAATGAAAATTTCCACCCACATTATTTAACACTTTCGGCAAATTTTATAATCTTTGAAATCTAGCTATTTAGTAATATATATAATATACGATATTTAAAACGCTGTGATACTTCCGTTATTGTTAACGAAGAATTCTTACGTTGTATGGTTAATATTTTGAACTTTAATTTAACTTTTCTGTGTCTTTCCCCTCAAACGCTTGTAAAATATATACAGTCATTTATAATAAAATATTACTATCACCATTATGGCACAGTCATATCCCCATATAATTACACCTTAGTGAACTGCAAAAAGTGTAACTACATGTATAAAGAAAGTTGTGATTATATGAAATTCAAATTTCCTACTGAAATGTATGGAGGTGTGATTGTAGACGTTTTGTTGAAAGTTTCATAGGTGGCGTAAACATCGCATCACATATGAACTTTACTCGAAGAAATGGTCTCGAAGTAGAAAAATACAACATATATCGATATAGTTGAAAGTATTCAATTTAGAGCATAAGCTTTAAGAAAAATTTTTTAATATAATATCTCACTTTTAAGGTGAAAATAAAAAATTAATATTTTTGACATCATTTGAAATACTTCATAATTCGCAACTATAAAACTCACGGTATGATGACTGATAATGAACAAAAAGTCTCAATTTATCTGCGATCACGCTGGGAAATCTATTTGGTACAAACTCGAGAATTTTACTTTTTAACCTTCTCAATAGCGGTAAATGTATTTGATTTAAATCACGAATCGAACCAATATCACGTCGATAGACAATTGCAATTAAATATAAGCTATTTAATGTCACGCCATCCCATTTCCTAAATTATTAAATAAATATCGATTAATAAATTTAATAAAATGAAACAATATATATAATAATATTCTATGTTTGTCTTCCTTTACTAACATATCCGGTAAAAGAATAAATCCGTTTTCGTCATTTTCCTCCTCTAATGAAATTTTCTCTGCTTCTTTTTCTTTGAAAGAATATTGCTATTCTACTAGCTGGAATTGATTCAATAAATGATTTCACAATTTGTTGATACATTGATTAAGTGTTGAGGTTGAAGACTATATTTTTGAATATGCTTTTAGTAATACAAAGGAACAGCTTTAATAGATAAGTTTTCTTACAATATAAAGTTCCATTTATACCGTTTCAGTAGCTGGCCAAATAATTGTCATTGGTAAATTCTCACGAATTTTCGTAGTCCCGAAATATCGATGATAAATATCATTTGATTCATGCAAGATCCATTTTTCAACACGTTTACGCGAAAGATTTGCAACCACTTCATTGGAACCTAATTCCAGTGCCGTTCTGTATACGTTTCAAAAGTAAGGATAATAAAATTTGAGGTGTGAGAATTGGGAAAGTTTCTGAATTGTTTGCAGCGTGGGAATTTGGAAAAATAGGAATTGGTGATTTCGAGAAGAAAGTTAGAAAGGTATAAATAACTATTCTAATTCTTTATTTAATGCATCAGTCAATTAATTCACGGATGTGTTTGCCTTTTCTGGTTGTCTTTTCTTGCAAAGAACCTAACCAATCTATAATGATTATAATTACGATTAAAATTATGATGTCTTTATGAAGAGGTTTTACAAAGTGTTTTATTACTTTGAGAAAAATTGTACGCAAGTTTTTTTATATTAAGGCCCGAAAGCCATTCGTTATATACATGTTTTGTGAGTGTATTTTATGTTTTAAAAGAAAATGCTACTTTAATTCTATTATCATTATATAATTTATTATATTGATAGCAGTAAAATACTAAAGTACGGGTTGCATTAAACATCGCAAGCAATTGTGCTAAAAAACATGAGCGACTGTGCTGAAATATGCAGACTATTGTGCTGATAAACGTGGAGGATTGAACAGGATACTGAATAATTACGACTGGTGCTGAAAGCGGAATTGATTGTGCTGAAAAATGGTTCGAAATGGTACATTGAGACCCATTGTGCGGTCTACTTGTGTTAAGGAATACATGTACATGTATTTATAGCTTTGGGATGGTTATAATACAATTCACAATGCATGCGTACATGCACTACATGTACACGTACATCAAAAAATAATTTCAATATGGTCATGGTCTATGATTTTTATTACCGTTAATTCACGTGAAACATGTATACGTATCGGTATATATAACACATGCAGATATGCTTCTGATCAAATTACATGTGCATGTATTTTACTTTTACAATGTCTAGAAAACATAGTAAAAATTACGAAAAAAATAGATCCAACAAAAATAACGAGGACGCAATTAATAATATTGTAAATACTCACTTTAATCAGGTTAATGAGGTTCTTAGCAAAATTCACTCGGGACAATATGATTTTTCAACACGATTATTGAACAATATTTATTTCAATAATCAAACAAGCAATAGTAATTTCAATATTCAGAATAACAATGATCACAAGATTATCCCAAACACTCGAGTAATTATGAATACAATGATTCCTTATAACTCTACATTTACATTTAATTTATTTGAAACATCAAATAATCCCATATACACATCCACTTCATTTGATACACTAAATTCGACAACGGTGGCGCCTACCAACAATACTACAAAGGAAAAAATTTATTTTAATTTCATCAACGATGCATCGCTTCTTGATGGCCAATTCGGAGATCTATTATTGAATGTGTTCCATGATGCAGTTCGTTGTGGCGAAAAAATATTCTATTCGAAATTTCTTAACGAATTCTTTGGGAAAACAGGGTTTACAGCACGTCAAACCTACGACAAAATGCAGCCAGAGAAATATGAGCGCAAATTCGGTTGCCTACTTGGCTGTTTGTATCAACATGGGATCGGTACAAAATTAGATGCGCAAAAAGCGTTTGATCAATTTAAAAAGTTAGCAGAAGTATATCATGATGCTCTTGCACAAGCATTTCTTGGAAGATGCTATGAATATGGCGAAGGATGTGTAAAAAACAGGATTAAAGCATGCTATTGGTATAAAAAATCAGCAGATAATGGATGTGGTTTGGGCGAATGTGCGTATGGCACTTGTTTGTTTGAGGGAACGGGAGTGGAGAAAGATGAAGCGAAAGGATTCGAATATATCAAAAGGTCAGCAGAAAGAGGACACGCTGAAGGTCAATGCAAATTGGCAATTTCTTTTCAAAAGGGAATTGGAACAACGGAAGATAAAGATATGGCGTTTTATTGGTTTGAGAAAGCTGCTAACATTGGAAATACTTACGGTCAATATAACTTGGTAAGTTTGATTTTTGATTTGCCAGAAGCATAATAGAAATTAAGAGATTTTACAATAACAGGGAATATGTTACGAGCATGGAATTGGCGTCGAAACGGACCTCTTCAAAGCATTCTCTTGTTACGACATTTCCGCTCATGGGGAAAATCAAAAAGCTCAATGCATGGTAGGTTACTGCTACGACGTTGGCATCGGCACTTTAATGAACAAATCAAAAGCGCTCGAATGGTATGAAAGATCCGCCATGAATGGTGAATTAATTGGCCAATACAACTATGCAAACTTTTGTTTTAATGGTACCGCCACCAGACGAGATCGCAACAAGGCATTCTACTGGTATTCTAAATCAGGCCACGCCGGCTACGACTACTCGCAGTATCGGTTAGGATGTGCGTATCAATCATTTGGTGCTGGTGCTAATAAAGATATGCATGAAGCTATTCGATGGTATCGTAAAGCATATGTACAAAATAACTTACCAACTTTGAAAAAGATACCCTTGGTGTTTGGTGCGTCGGATGTTGATTATGTTTAAGTAATTAATTGTAGCAACTTAATTCTATAAGAAAAAACGTCAAGTGCATATAAAACGTACTGGGGCATTTATATAAAAAATACCAATATTTTTGTCGGATAGCCATTCCATAGGATTTTAATAGTGAAAAAGCACAAATTTAAACAAACTGAAAAATGCAATTTGATTTTAGTAGGGGAGCTTAAAAAAATACATGGGTTACGTTTCAGTCGAAATTTTTCTGGCATTATTTCAAAGAATAGAAGCAACAATGACGCCAAGTGCACAAAAACATAACTCGGCGGTAGGAAAGAGGTAATTTTGTGAGGTGAAATGAACGAGACAATGGTTCATGTATATACTGACATGTATTATTGATGTCATTGGGACATGTGTAATTGCTCAGGACAACTTTGGATGCACCTTTCAAACTAAAAACTTTTGATGAATAGAAGATAAATATTAATATTATAAATTCATAAATATATGACATGTAATATTAAGATCTACGAAAAGTCCATGTAATATTGAAAGTCATATCGATATATATTTATAATCCCAATGTCCAAAAATATTACAAGACCATTGTCCATTCATCACATAAGACATCAATTAAACGACACATTCAAATTGAAGTCGAATCGTTTGAACACAATCATTTAGAGTTGATAATAGATTTTTTACGGTTAACCAGCATAGCAATTAGAAGTCTCGATCAGAAAGTGTCGTGGTGTTGGCATCATTCGTGATACGTGTTTGTGTGTCGTAAGAAAAAAAACTTGGTTTGTTTTCAAGTGTTTTTAAACTTTAGCAATGAAATTAATGATTTAAAGGGAAATATGATGCAAGAGAGGATAAATTAAATACAATGTACAAAAAGTCCATTGTTCGAATATATGGGGTGTCGTCCAACCCATCTTCCCGAAATTCCAACATCCCGACAAATCCAATTTCCAATTTCCCAACAACTTAACTTTCGATATCCAATTTACCGACATCATTTTTACATTTTAAATGAAGATTCGTTATTATTATTATTATTCTATTCTTGATGTTAAATAATAAATGCTAGTAGTCGATCCCCATAAAAACCCAGAAATTGGACTAGTTTGGTCGGGAAGTTATATTTGTTGGGAAGTGGATGTTAGATTGTCGGGAAGTTGGGTATGTCGGGAAGTTGGGGATATGTCAGAATTTTGGATTGTCGGGATGCCTCATTATTTGTTGTAATATTGTAATATAAAGTTTATTATCCGAATGTAATATACAATATGAGTTGAATGTAATATAAAAAGGTTCATTGTCATATTGCAGTAAATGATCTCAACCAAGCCATTAAACTTCAAGTCCTATGTATATTTATAGAATATATAAGATGGATGCTCAAGTTTTGAAATTGCAGAGATATAATCTTATCCTAGATAAATCTTGATTATTTTATACTAATCCTATTATAGATTAGAGAAATAATATCATCATCTTTACCTATGGATCAAAGATAATAAAAGTACAAGCTAATAATAAAGTAAAGTCAAGCTCAAGCTGCAATTCTATTTATATATCAAGATAATAAATTATCAAACTACTATATATCTTAATAATATTAAAGATAAAAAAGAAGTAAAAGAGAAGATGTTTTCATATAAAGTATTAAATATCAAGAAAAGATATAAAGATATATTTTCAGAAATCTTACCAAATTAATTATCACTCAAAAGAGTAATTTATCATAAAATTAACCTTATCCCAGGATCTGAATTATCATCCAGATCCACTTATAGACACTTTTTTACTGAAATAGATGAGCTCAAGAAATAATAATTAGCTGATCTTATTCAAAAAGATTTCATTCATCCAAGTATTTCATCATTTGGAGCACTAGTTCTTTTTATACATAAAAAAAAAGAAACTTTAAGATTATATATTAATTATAAAGCTTTGAATAAAATCATCATCAAAAATTGCTATCTATTATTCAGAGTTAATGAGTTGATGAACAGACTTACAGACTTAAAATACTTCTCAAAGCTGAATTTATACTTAGGATATTATCAAATTTGCATTACAGAAGAAAATATTTATAAGACAGCATTTAGAATTTACTATAAATATTATAAGTTCTTGGTCTTACTCTTTGAACTTACAAATATATTAGCAACTTTCATGATGCTAATGAATAATATATTTTATAATTATCTTAATAAGTTTATAATCATATATCTAAATAATATCTTGATATAGCAAGATAAAGAAAGAATATATTTAATATCTCCAAATAGTCTCACAAATATAAATTATATATCAAGTGAAAGAAATATGATATCATATAATAATATATAGAATATCTTGAATATTTTATATTAGCAGATAGTATCTTAGTTAAAAAAAATTATTACAATTAAAGATTAATCAGTATTAACTAATATATCAGAACTTTGCTCATTTCTTGGATTAGTAAGTTATTACAGAAAATTTGTGAAAGATTTTTCAATAATAGTCTTATTACTCACAATACTTCTTCATAAAGATAAAGATTATAAATAGTCTATAATAGTGCAATAAACTTTTGAACAATTAAAATAATATCTTATATTAGTACCAGTCTTGTTATTATCTGATTTAAAACTACTATTCATAGTTATCATAAATATCTCAGATTTTATCATAGAAATTATATTGAGCCAAAACTAAGATAAGAGTAATCAACCAATTACTTTTGAATTAAGAAAACTTTCATTAGCTGAACAGAACTATCTGATTCATAAAAAGAAATTACTTGCAATTATATATACAATCAGATTTTGAAAATCATATCTAAAAGATCAAAAATTCATAGTAATAACAGATCATACCTCCTTGAAATACATTAAAATACAATATAATTTTTCAAAGAAATAGACTTGCTAGTTAGAGATTCTTCAGATCAATAACTTTAAAGTCAAATATAAATTTAATAAAGATAATATAGTAGCAGATGCATTTTTATATCAATCATATTTAGCAAATATTTCAGTTATTATTATCAATCTTATTAATAAAGAAGACTTGATAAAGTATCAAGAAGATAAATATTTGGCAGAAATATATAAAATCTTGAAGAACTTTAATAGTGTAATACTCAAGTAATAAACTAAAGTCAAAAATTTTGAGTTGAAAAAAAATTATTATATTTGAAAAATATAAGTCACCTAGTCATTCCAGATAATAAAAATTTGAAAGCAAAGATTTTATTTGAATTTCATGATGTACCAATTGCAAAATATATTGAAATTAACAAAATATATATAACTATTTCTTAATAGTTCTATTAGTCAAAGATAAATAAAAGTATTCACAAATATATTACCAGTTATAAATCTTATTAGCATAATAAAAGCAGTAATTAACAATTTTCAGAATTACTCTAGTCTCTAGCTATTTCAGAATATAGATAAGAATATACCATTATAGATTTTATAGTTCAATTTCTAATCATAAAATCTGAATATGATGTAATAATAATCTTTATAGATAAGCTATCAAAAAAAGTATACTTTATATTAATTATAATAATAATAATAGTACCTGATATTACAAAGATTTTCTTTAAAAATATCTTTAAATTATATAGCTTACCCACAATTATAATATCAGATAGAAATGCAAAATTTATAAGTTACTTTTAGAAGTCTCTTTTTGAATTACTAGATATAAAACTTATTATATTTATAGTCTTTTATTCTCAAATTAATGGCCAAACAGAAAGATTAAATAAAACTTTAGAAGAGATGCTCAGAATATATATTACTTATCAATAAAATAGATAAAATAAAAATCTAGCTGTTGTAGAATTTACTTATGATAATAATAAGAATACTTTAACAGATCATATATCTTTTGAATTAAATTATAAATAGATATCTCACATATCAATCAATATTCTATTATAGCAAAATAATTTTGTAGTATCTCAAGATTTTATGAAATATTGGAATATCATGATGAAAATAGCAAAAGATCTATTAAATGCAAGATAAACAAAGCAAATATGCTAATTAATATAAAAGATTTGAAGAATTTAATCTTGAAGATAAAATTCTTTTCTTCACTTATAATATAGAAGCTCTAGTTAATAAATAAAGGATAATTAAGAAATTCACATCAAAATTTATTAAACTCTTTGAAATCATCACTAAAATATCTTCTGTCACTTATAAATTATAATTATTATATAATATGAAATTATACTTGGTATTTTATATTTCATTATTAAAGAAATATAATTCTGATAATAAATTTAACAGATATCAATCATCACTAACAATCTTCACATCAGATAATAAAAAAGAATATGAAGTTAAAAATATTCTTGATAAAAAAATTTATTATTACAAACTTCAATATCTTGTTAAATAACTTGGTTATTCTCTCTATTATGCAACTTGAGAATCTTTAGAAAACTTAAAAAATATCATAAAAAAGATTAATACCTTTGAAAAATTATGTACTTAAATATAATAAGACTATTATACTTTAAGTAAAGAGATATATAATAATTTTAATTAAATTATCTCTCTTTAGATTCTTTTAGTTTAGATCTTTATTTTACACTATCTGTATTATAGATTAGCTTTGTATTATATTTTAAGAAGATTAATTTTATTTTGAATATATATATGATTATTATATTATTACCGTAGTAGCATAAAAATCTCTAATTCCTTAATCTTTTCGTGATTATGCAAAATCATATTTTCTTATAACTTTTACATTTTATAATTATTTCTATATTTTTACATCATATAACTATCCCGTATTAGTATATTAT